GCATTTTAAACAAGAAATAAAACCAATAATTAATAATTTCCTTTAAGTTCACTGTTGGTTGTTTTATTTGTTAAAAGTAAACCAACAAAAGGGTTAATCTTTTTTTATGTTGTCATTTATCCGTAATGTTTTAATGTTAAGTGTGATAACATGCTCTTGATTTGAATTAGATTTTTATTTTTATTTTTTAATATTTAATTTTTTCATTTTTATATTTTTATTATCTTAAGTTGTTAAAAACTCCAGATTTTTTTTATCATAATATTTATATTTAAGTGTATTGTATTTATAACATTTTATTTTGTCATTAATTCTTTTGTATTTTTATCATTTTGTATTGTCTTAAGTTGTCCAAGTTGTTAAAAATGTTATTTTTCTTAATAAAAGCTGTATGTATGGATTGCCATTTTGTTGTCTATTAGATGTATATATGTAGTGGTTTAATAGCCGTCTAATTGATGACTAGTCTATTCTTGGGCTATGATTAGACGTCTATTAGATTTTCACTGACAGCCCAAATTTAGCCTCGTTTTAGCCTAGACGTCTAGGCTATATGTAGACGTCTAATATACGTCTTTTAAACGCAAAATTGCTTGCTGGGTTTGTTCCAGACGGCAGCAGCAGCGTTTTCATTTCTGCACTCTGTATCCTGGTTAAAATCTCCTGATGACTGACCTTCTCGAAGACATTAAAGTTCAGATCAGGTTTAGGTTAACAGCAGGTTAAACACTCACTAAGCCCACTCGTGGTTTCCAGGACAGATCATATACGGCGTGTAAGCAGCGATGGACTGGATCTGCTGCATTAACTCATCACCGATCCGGCCGTTATCCTGATTAAACACACACACACACACACACGCACGCACACACACACACACACACACACACACACTCTCACACACACACACGTCTGGTCAGCTATCCTTGTGGGGACTCTCCATAGGCGTAATGGTTTTTCTACTGTACAGACCCTATAAATGTATTTTTCTTTTGGTTTTGGTGTAAATGTGATTCGTAAAGCGTAACTGAATGCCTCCGGCCTGTTTCTCCGTCTTCTTTGGCTCTGCTGATGTTGTTTAGATGTCGGCGGCTCTTGAGCTACTTTGATTAAAATTTAAACGCAAACAGAAAATAAAAAAATACAAATATTAAAAACTACAATAGCATCTAAATGCCACTAACATAACACTGGCATATAAAACCCCCTCAGAGTCAAGGCTGTGATTAAAAACAGATGCTCTGTGTTCAGTAGCTCAGCTCATAATCACATTATGATGTAATATTTCAAACACACACTGTTTTAAAACTAAAAAGTATACGACTTCAACATTACAAGTTACACATGAGACGAGTGTGATGAAATAGTGTGATGAAATAGGCCTCATTATTGGTAATATAATTATTCTTATGCTCAGTTAACAATTAAGAGGTGAACCGTGAAACCTGACAAAATGAACACTTTTTTAACTAATTTAATGAACGCATATAAGCTGCTTTGGATAAAAACATCAGTAAATGAATGTAAAAGAAAGCAGCCCATCATCAGAAACCTCAGACACGACAAACTCAAATCAGATCCGTCTATTTTCCAGACACTTACACAATCAAATCTGAACTCAAAACAGTGATTTGGGGAATATTGTGGTCGGTTGTTGGGTTTCGTTGCTCTAGTGAGTTTTCAGATGCTCAGGTTTGACAGCTGTATTTGTGGTTTCTGTCTCCGATTATGATATTATGGGCAACGTTAGACAATCGGGTGAAAATGATGTCTATCATCACTTACATATTTGGATCATGACTTGATTTGACTGCTTTCTGTATGTTTGTGCTAAATATAGATGCCTTAAAGACACAGCAGCCAAAACTGTTCACTTGAAAACTGTTCACTTGAAAATAATCATTCTATCATGTCGTTCAAATTAACATGAAAGCAGAAAAAATGTCACTACATGGCCATCAGACTGTGTGTTTCTTTCCGTCATGCATGTCATACGCAAAATCCCCAGTGAAAACAATCACATGCTGTAAAGCAGATTCACCACACGCACAAGCAAAACACAAAACTAGAACTAAACCATCCAAACTATCATCACTGGGATGACAAACTAATCTGCTCTTACTCATTCAAAGGAGCAGTTCACACAAAAATGAACATTAGCTGAAAATGTGCTCACTCTCAGCTCATCCGAGATCAGGACTTTGTCACACGTGACTTTTCCATCTTGGCTTTATTTTTGTTAAATAAATAATGACACGGTGTGATATGGCATGTGCTGTTGTTCATCTGAGGCTTTATTTCCTAATTTTAAG